CCCGCCCCGCCGCCTGACTTGCCGGAGAGCCTCCCCGGCCCTGCGGGGCGGCGAGGGCCAGCATGGCCTGAGCGCGCCAGGCGGCGGCGCAGCGGCGGGATCGCAGCATGGGGAACCAGGACGGGAAACTGAGGAGGAGCGCGGGCGATGCCTCGCACGAGGGCGGCGGCGGCGGCGAGGATGCTATGGGGCCCAGGGATGTGGAGGCCACAAAGAAGGGGAGCGGGGGAAAGAAGGCGCTGGGCCAGCGCGGCAAGGGGGCCGGGGGCGCCGGCGGGGAGCCCAGCAAGAGAAAGAGCAAGTCTGACTCCAGAGCCTCGGTGTTTTCCAACCTGCGGATCAGGAAGAACCTGTCCAAGGGGAAAGGCGCCGGCGGCTCCCGCGAGGACGTGCTGGACTCCCAGGCCCTGCATACCGGGGAGCTGGACAGTGCTCACTCCCTGGTCACCAAGACCCCGGACCTCAGCCTCTCTGCGGACGAAACGGGCCTGTCGGATACCGAGTGTGCGGACCCTTTTGAGGTGACCCGTCCAGGGGGTCTTGGGCCCGCCGTGACTGGGGTCGGGGACCGGGCGGTCACCGAGGATTTGGAAACTGCGCCAGGAGCGCAGGATGGACAAAGGACCAGTTCGGGCTCGGACACGGATATCTATAGCTTTCACTCCGCTACGGAGCAAGAAGATTTGCTTTCAGACATCCAGCAGGCGATCCGCCTGCAGCAGCAGCAGCTCCAGCTCCAGCAGCAGCAGCACCGGCTGCAGGGCTCTGAGGAGCCTGCAGCGACCCCCACGGCCGCCTCCCCTCAGCCCGGGGCCTTCCTGGGCCTTAACCAGTTCCTGCTGGGGCCGAACGGCCGAGCTGCGGAGGTCCCTGGTAGTCCGGACACAGAGCAGGCGCTGTCCGCACTCTCGGACCTGCCCGAGAGCCTGGCCGCCTCGCCCCCGGTGCGCGAGCAGCCGCCATCCCCTGGTGGCCGCCTCGCCCCTGAGGCGCCCGGCCTCCCGGCGGCCCAGCCGTCAGCCTCAGACTCGCCATCGTCCACGGCCTTCCCGTTTCCCGAGGCCGGGCCGGGGAAGGGCGCAGGTGGAGCCCCGGTGCAAGGGGCTGGGGACACGGATGAGGAGGTCGAGGAGGATGCTTTTGAGGATGCTCCCCGAGGCTCCCCGGGGGAGGAGTGGGGTCCGGAGGTGGGAGAGGCCCCGAAGAGGCTGGGAGAAGAGCCAGAGGCGGGGCCTGGCAACCCTGCGGACACCTCCCTGCCCGGCAGCCCCGCGCCCAGCCCGCGCTGCTTCAAGCCCTACCCACTTATCACCCCCTGCTACATCAAGACCACCACCCGGCAGCTCAGCTCGCCCAATCACTCCCCGTCTCAGTCCCCCAGCCAGAGCCCCCGGATCAAGAGGCGGCTGGAGTCCTCCTTGAGCCGGGGACCCAGAACTGCCTTGGTCTTCGCTCCCGCCGCAGCCAAAAAGCACCGGGCCGACGGCGGCCTTGCGGGCGGCCTCAGCCGCTCCGCAGACTGGACCGAGGAGCTGGGCGCGCTCTCGCCTCGGGCCGGAGGCTCTGTGCACCTGCTGGAGCGCGGGGCGGCAGCGGACGGCGGCGTGGGGGTCTCACCCACAAAAATTTATATGAGTATTGGCAGGTTTGCGATAAATATTTGAATGATTAAAATTTTCAAATGCAATTTGAAAATTTTAAAATCTTAAGTTCTGTTATTTTAATAAATAGGGTATCTACAGAACATTACTTAGATGAAATTTGTCAATGAGGACAACTACTTCTTAGATGGCTAAATGTTGTTAATGTTGTGGTAGCTTCTTCTATTGACCACATTTTTATTTTCATCCATAGGTTATCTTTTATTTTGCATGTATTGAATCTTATACTTAAGAGTAGCCTCTTCTATTTTAAAACGTGCTGTTTTTCCCATTTCTTTTCCTCCCTTCTCTTTATTGTATAGAATATTTGAAGGGAATATTTGTAATCTTATATGCACTATATAAATTGTAATAAAACAAAGACAATTTTTAATGGACAAAAATAGGGAAGTTATTGAGTTAGTTTTTGTGAATTTAACGTTGATGAGAAATCATGTGTTTTTTTACTTAGGTAACATTCATTTATATATTTTTCTAAAGATGAGAATAATTCACCATAATTAAGATTATCAACCAAAATATTAATGCTATTCCTAGTAGCATAAGACTTTGGGAATTTATTCATTTCATTTATTTAATAAATATTTACACATACATATATATGTATACACATATGTATATACTTGTTGTGCATGTATGTGTATATAGATGTATATATGTGTGTGTATATATTATATATGATGTTATATATACTGTGTATATATATAGGGTAGTCACATTGTGCCAGGGACTATGCTAGATGGTAGGCAATACACAGGCCATTAAATCATGGTTCTGCCTTTCCAAGACTTAATGAGTGAAGAGGACACATAAAATAACTACAGTGCACAGGTAATATGTACATGAGGGTACTTCAAAAAGTTCATGCAAAGATTCGTATTATTATTATTATTATTTTTTTGAGACCAGCCGCACTGTGCTCAGCCAGTGAGCGCACCGGCCATCCCTATATAGGATCTGAACCCGCGTCGGGAGCGCTACTGCGCTCCCAGCGCCGCACTCTCCTGAGTGCACCACCGGGTCGGCCCAAGATTCGTATTATTTTTTAATTCTGTTTTTTCATAGACTTTTTGAAGTACCTCGTATGTATAGATATGCAGGACAGTGCGCTGGGAGCATCCAGGAAGTCGTGGCTTATCTCCTTGGCAGGAGATGAGGGGAGAGGACTTGACAGAGGAGGACTGAATAAGAGCCCTGAAAGATCATAGAGCCCTAAATAGGTTGAAGTTTTGTCTTCTTAAAAAACACCAAAAATCAAACAAGCAATATAACCTAGTCTTGGAACTTGCATTTCATTTTAATTTGTTAAATATTTCCAGATTTGAAATTTGGGACTCTTAAAGGAGTTCTGTTCAGGAAGCACCTATGTGTTGTTGACCACTCCAGACAGAATTTTTTACTATGCGAAGTAAAGGAGCAGAGCTAGTTGTTTTAGTATGGACATCACCAACTTTGTATTCGATAGTTGGATATAGCTGATCATTGACCAGCAGATACATTTTTGTGTGGCAGCTTTTATATATTTACCTCCTTCACATAGCATTGTTCAGAAAAAAAGAATCAGTAGGTTTAACCTAACCTTGTAGCTGGTGGGAAAGTGGAGGCAGAGAAAGAAGTGGAATAACTTTCTCAAGGTCACACTGTGATTCATTCAGAGGCAGATCCAGAAATAGCAGCTGAGACTACTGATTCAAGTCTGAATATCGTTGTTTATTCATGTGTGAATGCAAGACAACATATGGAGTAAAAACTGTTTTTAAAAGATGTTATAGGATTTAAGGCCTTCACTTATGAGATTGTTCGTTTTCTGTTTTTTGATAAGATGTACTCCTTTAGTGGTTGAACATGTGATCTTCTTGGGGTGGATGAAGGGCAACCGTTGGCCAGAGTGGCCCAGATTTCCTCTAGGCAACTCTCATGGAGACTGTTCTTATAGTGGCAGAGTGAATCCAGATGGACACAGGCCCCTGTTTCTCAGCTTTTGACTCTTTTCTTGTCACCTGGAGTCGCATGGGCTTCCTTACCATCCTCTGCTGTTTTATGGGTGTGTAGGAAATTACCAGAGGCTTGAACAGCTCTAGCATTGTCCTTAGGGAAATTGGTTTTTAGCCTTCATTTGAATCTATTGCCAGCTGCCTTTGAAGAAAGTGATCACTATATCTATAAGCTTCCATAAACATCTTTTATTTTTAAACCATGGAATGAGGGCAGTCAGCTCTGCAGGAAAGAAGAGATGTTTTTCACTTTCTATTGCATTCCAAATATAGGGAGAAAATTCAAGTGAAAAGGGATTTCTGTGGCACATGTTTGTGTCTCTTTGGTAGAGATAAAAACATCTAGCAAAGAGGGAGACCAAAACTGTCTCTTGTTTTAGCTACCAAGAAACTGATGATGCCTTAGGCCATTGTAATTTTTTTTTTTTGTGGGCTTGACCGTAGACCATTATGTTTAAATGTTTCACAGGGCAGGCTGGTTGTTAGCTCAGTTGGTTAGAGCATAGGGCAGCAGATAACACCAAAGTCAAGGGTTTGATTCCTGTACTGGCCAGCTGCCAAAAAAAAAAAATCTCACAGTCTCACAGTTAATTTATTTTATTTTATGTTTTTAAAATTCATATCATTGAGTGTTTATTATGTAAATAGTCATCATTGATCATTGCCCCATTGTTTTATGTGTTCCTAGTTTTCTTCAATTTTTTTTTTTATTGAAACAATTGATTGTACATATCTGTGGGGTACTGCACTGAATACCAATACCTATGTGCAATATGTGATATACAAATCAGGGCTATCAGTAAGGAAAAAGTGGTATATATACTCAGTGGAATACTACTCTGCCATTGAAAAAAGTTTATTTTAAATACATCTTTTTCATTGTTTAGTAGAAAAAATTCACCAAAGGCCAGAGTTTGATCCCTGTCCCGCCAGCCACCAAAAAAAAAAAAAAAAGAGAGAGAGAGAGAAAAAATTGCTTCTGAAATTTGAGAGAGGTTCCTTTACATATTAAGTATAGCAGAAACTTGTTAATAGAATTTTAGAGTTAATTAAAGATTATAACATATAACGTGTTAACATATGTAACATATAACATGTTAAATTTGTGTTGCTAAATCGCTTCTGATAGGAATCTTTCCAAAGTCAATTATATGCTTACCTGTCTTTTTGTAAGCACATGGAATAAAAGTTTGATCTGTTTTAAAGGACTTAATGTCATCTTTAGGCACATTACTGTTACGCCTTGTGAAAACATTAGTGATACCCTCAACAGCTATTGAGGCTGTGTGTAGGACGGTGTCCTTAGTCTGTTGTTTCTGAGTTTTTGTGTCTGTGTAGTTTCTTGCCTCTCTCCTTGCTGTCAGGTATGTATTCTTAGAGCTGTCTTTAGTCTTTCTCCCACCCCACCCCCACTCCCCAATTCCTTGTAGGTTGATTTTTGTGGTCAATTTGTTATTGGCTTGTGAATCCTGTAATTATGATGTTAGCTATATTTATTGCACTTCCACTCACTATCAGGCTCTGTTTGTGTATTGCATAATTATGTCTAATCCCTGCAACAGTCAAGTATAGCTGCTTATCCTCATTTTTCCAAGGAGCAAAACAAGGCTCAGACAAGTGAAGTAACTTGCTTAAAGGCGTTGAGCTAGTAAGTGGCCCATCTAGGATGTATCCTTGGATCAGTGAGCTTTTTGGAGGACTAGCTCATTAATGAAATGCTTGGGCTTTAGTTCTAAAGTTGGACTGTGCAACTCGTATTTTGGCTTTTCTAAAGGTTGCCTTGATTTTTGTATCAATAGAGAGAAGGACCCACTCTAGGAATACACATTTTCTCATATGGCTCATTAAATTGTTACATGGACTTTTTTAAGGCCATGAGCAGTCTGATTTCTAGCAGTAGTACCTGACAGTATAGATGTTCAATTAATGTCTGATGAATGAATTGAGGTTTGAATCATCCCTGATACATATAAAGTCCTTATAAAAGGAAAGCACACTATCACTTTCTCTAACTTATTGGGTTCCATGTATCAGAATAGACCTTGGCAGCATATGCTGGGACTGGGAACTCTGTTCTTAAATCATTTTAGTTTGGTCTGAAATAATCCTTTCTCATAGTTTCTTTATGGCTGTGGTTTGGATTGAAGTCATATACCCTGATAGCTCCAGTGATAGGTTTTAATGACTGCTTTATGAGTTGAGGACTGGCCTTAGTTGTAAGTGCCTTTAGAAGACTGGCTGGTTAGTTCAGATGGTTAGGGCATGGTGCTGTTAATACCAAGGTCAAAGGTTTGGGTCCCCATACCGACTAGCTGCCCCCCTGCCCCCAAAAGTGCATTTAGGCATTTGGATAAAAGCCATGACTATTTGAAATGGGACAGGTGCTTTTAGTGCTTTTCCTTCTGGTTCTATTAAAAAGTTGTTGAAAATGCATGGTTGGATCACAGTAGCAGTAGTTATTCTTACTGCTATTATTCTAGATATATTTGCATCCTAGCCTTGCTAAGTGACTCAAGTCATTTTTCCTTATATGTATGAAGGTGGGGGAGTAATTTCAAATTAATAATGTTAAGATTAAATTAAATAGTACAAGGGTACTTTGCAAAGTTCATGGAAAAATAGAATTAAAAGATAATAACAATCTTCCCATAAACTTTTTGAAATATCCTCAAATATAAAGCCCCTACAACTCTGCCTGACACATAGGAGACACTAAATTGGTGCTATTTGCTTTTCTGACCTGGTTTATTTTCTTAATACATTGCATTGTTCAAAGTGGTCAGAACCAAATTCATTAAAACAAAACAAAACAGCTCTGAAATTGTGTACAAAAACTTGACAGGATATGAGTTGACCAGATGTTAGTTGAAAACTAATATTTCTAGTCACTAGGATTTTTTTCTTCCAAATTGTTCATTTTATGCATCATTTTTTTTCTCCATTTTCTGT